AGAAGAATTATTGATTTTTATCTTATCCTGTTTTTTCTATGCAGCTTAAGCATTTGGAAAAAATAAGTTTATAGTTTGCTGGTGATTCTATTTGATACCTATTCTTATATTGCTGTGTTGATTTGTCTAGCTGTTTAATATTTTAGTTTCTTTATCTGGTTGTTGAACAAACAACATCAATCAAAATATAATGCTGAATTAATTTTTCTCGGTTCTTCCTATTATTTAGCTGGATGGATCGGAAATGATGCTATTTCTCCCATCATTGGTGAACATGACCCTTACATTAGTGTATATGGGAGGGTAAGAAACATCCTCTTTGAACTCTCTTTCTCTCCATTGATTTTTTTTGCGTGTAGATCTAATGAAAATATGTTACTTTCAGGAGCTGACCCATATACGTGCTGTGACTATACTCATGACTTTCATCATGGTTGTTGCCATTCTTACATCAATTGCTATTGTTCGACGCATCCTAATGGCAACATCTGTTCTGAAGGCAAGCATTACTTTATGTTATGCAATTATTAAACTATAATTAAATTTGTTTATTGAATTGACATCTGGTAGTGATCATATGTATTTTGGGACTGTATCAAGTGCTCCAATACCATAAATGTTATTGGCTACTTAGGACCAAGCAATTCGGTACATGTATAGCTTTGTTCAGGGAAAAGAATACCTCAAAGCCAGTGCTCATTTTGCTAATTTTATGTCTGGCAATGGAAGTTCCCTCTGGTTAATCTGACTAATCACTAATATCATCAAGATTTGCCCTGTCTTTCCTTTTATTTAACTATCCAATGAACGGATACTAAAACTTCTATTCTCCTCTTTTACAATTGTATTTTTCATAGACCATAACACATGTCTGCATTGATATATGATGCAGCTCATGCTTGTGAAACATTTGTCCACCCTTTTTTGCAACTTTACCTCCACGTAATGTGTTAAGTTTGCACCATCCAGTTGTCACAGTGTTAGATTTTTTTGACAAAATTGTTGGTCAAATGCAATAACCACTTCTAATTGTGAAATGATTATGCATCATTCTTTCCATGACCCTGAGCCAATCAATTTAATTGATTTAATGCAAATTTCATTTACAGGTTGCTGCAAAAGTGATAGGAGAAGTTCAAGCCCTCATTATTTTCCCACTCATACCATATGGTATCCTTGCAGTGTTTTACATGTTCTGGATTTCAGCGGCTCTCCATTTGTTCAGCTCTGGCCAGGTTGTTCAGAATGACTGCAACTCTAATTGCTGCACATATGATCTCATTGCAAAACGGGTAAACTGTGATCGTTGTTGTGGTTATAGCATTCATTACACACCACATATTGGAATTGCCATCCTTTTCCACCTATTTGGGTGTTATTGGGCTACACAATTTTTCATAGCATGCTCCTCAACAGTGATTGCTGGGTCTGTTGCTTCTTACTACTGGGCTCGTGGTGAAACATCTGTAAGTCACATGCCTTGTCCAAAATGAAATGATGTTATGCAGAGGATTTAGTGAGCATTTTATGTTGTCAATATAACTGATTTTATTAGATTGATCATGTAGTCCCAGCCTAAGCAGCACAATAGTTTACTAATTGGCTCAGAAATGGTTCCTGATAAAAAATAACACATGGCTTTATAAATTATTGAAGTATGACTCATTCTATCCATTATAAGGATAATATGAAGGCTTGTGTTGTGTTTAACAAGATTGTTAAACTAATCACATGAAACACTAAAGGAAAATTTATAGCTTCATGATATTTAAAAAAAAAATTCTAATTGGAAACTGCTAGTGCTAGGGCTTGTTTGTTTGGCTGATTTGAGTTTGATCTTCTACTGATTAAGCTATTTGGTTTTTATACATACACAATTCTGTTATCCATGTTATTGAATATGACATATTTCTTCTCAATGCAGCCAGAAATTCCATTTCTTTCAGTCTTTTCCTCCATGAAGAGGCTTATGTGTTACAGTCTTGGGTCTGTGGCTCTTGGCTCTCTGATTGTTTCATTTGTAGAATCAATTCGCTTTCTGCTTGAATCTATTCGTCGCAAACTAAAAGTCTCTAGTCATGGGCATGACAGCTGGATAGGCAAGGCCGTATACCATTCTTCTTCTTGTTTTCTCAGGTGTATTGAGTGGACTATCAAATCAGTAAACCGAAATGCTTACATCATGGTAAATTTTGTTAATCTACAGTTACTATTGCAGATTTTTATGCATGCATGATGAATTGATAGACGTGTTTTATAATATTGTTGTGGTGCATTAATTCTCTTAAAAAAGAAGGATATAGTAAGCTCCATTAATATAAAACCCATTCTCACATTGTGATTGGCTAATTTGGTTGAGACTGAATTTCATTTCCTTGCTTTGGATGTGTTTTTGTAAGGTATAGTTCAACATAGAGAGCAAAACATGTCCCAGAGGTGTACTCTAAATAGAGTTGATGCTTAGTCCAATTTATTTACCTTAGCTCGTTCTATCTGCTGGGTACTTGTACCATTAGTATTTCTAATCAAGCTCCCATGCCTTGAACATTAGATAACACATCTTGGTTTATTCTTTTTCTGATTTTAACTTCTTGATATGGTATTTGCAGATTGCTATAACAGGCAAAAGTTTCTTCTGCGCTTCGACTATTGCAACAGAATTGATCATGAATAACATTTTAAAGATTGGGCATCTTAATGTGATCGGAGATGTCATTTTGTTCCTTGGAAAACTCTGTGTCAGCCTCTCAAGTGCTTTGTTTGCATTCCTCATGCTGGACACACACAAGTACAGATCTGCTCATAACAAGACCTCATCTCCACTCTTTCCTGTTGTGGTATGTTTTCTATAATCTAATTATGAGAAAAGAGGGTAAAGACCTATTTCCATTTAGCAAAAGCAATAAGAAAAAACGGTAATTCAGAATAGAGGGTAAAGATCAACTTTATGTTATAAGAGCTTAATTAGGTTGTATACCAAATGCATCCATAATTGGGGGGGGGGGGGGGGGGGGGAGTTTTGTTGTCATTGCCATGATGGATAAAATGCTACCCAAAGAGACCAAGAACTGGAAAATAATCGCAAAAAACAAATTGTACAAATTCACCATCCAATATGAATTTTGAACAATTGTCAACCTTATTTTGTGTTTTGTGTAATGCAGGTTTGCTGGGCTCTTGGATATATAGTTGCCACCCTTTTCTTTGCAGTTGTGGAGATGTCAATTGATACCATTGTTCTCTCATTCTGCCAGGATTCTGAAGAGCACCAAGGAACAGCTCAATATGCCCCTCCCCTTCTCATTGAGACTCTCAGTGACCAAAATGAGATGCAGAGACTCACCCAAGGACCTCAATGAAACATGTCCATCTATAATTTTTCTCATTGTGACAAGATTTAGAATTTTTATTAAGGTGCTTATTTTTGCCACCATAGTTCTGTTCTTACTTGTATATATATGTTTATATACTATGCTGAACTCATGGGAATGTTGGGGTTGCCTTTTGACAAATGGATTGTGTAGGATATCATGCATGCCATGGCACAAACAACACATTCATTATCCTTTACCTATATAATTATAATTATAATTATAATTACAATAATTTCTCAGAAGTGCATCTTCTAATGAATTAGTTAGGCTTTTTGGTTCGTTCCCTAACTTCTATTGCAAAATGAGTGAACTCTCTCGAGTCAATTCTTGAGATTGTAAAAGTAAGATATTTCAATACTTTTTAAAAATCTTGTTAGTTTTTAATTTTGTATCAAGTCATTTTTAAGTATTATTTATTTATTTTTCATTGTTATTTTGCATTGAAGAAAGGCTAAATTTAGGAGCATATTATAAGTACTTTTTGTGTTATTTTTCAATTAAAATTAGACTTTTACCTCAATAATTTATGCCAACTTTTATGGAATGAATTACTAAAGTGAAATTTAAATTTTAAGTGATGAATTATGATACTGTGTTAATAAAATGTTAACATTGTCTTTTTCTATTGTCATTTTAATTTATGTTGAAAGTTTGATTGGTTATGTACTAGAATTTCCCTCAGGTTGTTGGCCGAGGTAATCTAGCTTAGTATGTTTAGTGTTTATCTATGGAGAGATAATTATTTATCTTTTAAAAATTGTTTCAGAAAGTTAAAAAGAATAAGCGATTATTGTTTTAGGCAAATGAAAATCACCCTCTACTCCACCTCAACACTCAATTTCTTAAAGGTTAAACATATTTTTAATTTCTATATTTTTTTATTTTAATCTCTGCAAAAAGAAATTCTAAAATTAAAATCTTATAATTTTACAAATTTTTTATTTTAATCCCTTTTCTTGATGTACTTCTGAAAAAATCACACATAGTAGCCTTTTAATGAGCAATGTCATTCTTTTAAAAGTTTTGATTAAAAGAAAAAATTAAAATTAAAAATTTGTAAAAATATAAAAATATTTGTCTTTTTATAAATATCAGGGCAACTTGATATTTTTGGTTTCAATTTTATTATCTTAAAGGTTACTTCAGCAAAGTGGGCCTATCCAAAAAACTTGTAACTGTTTACTCATAAATTTTGCACCTTCAGTGTACCAACAGTAAATGTGTCTTTTATTTTTTAAAATATACGTATTTTAATTTTAGCTTTTATAATTTTTTCGTGTTTCATATGTTAAAAATTTAATAATTATTAAACAATGATGTAACAAACTTTAATGTAATATTTTATTATTTTTTTTGTCATGTTTTATTTTTTCATAAAATCGTACAAATAAAAACAATGATTTTTTTTTTTTAAAAGTATAGAGATAGAATTAAATATTTTTGTAGAAATTCAAATCAAAATAGAATGAAGGATAAAACACATTTTAAAAAATTAATCTGAATTTTTAAGATTCAAAATAAGTAACCAAAATAATAATTTTTGGTTAAAAGATTATTTATTATTTTAAAAATATTATATTTTAAAGCCCAGGATTGGGGGGGGGGGGGGGGGGGGGGAGTGGAAGTGGAACAGTAGTGAACGCAGTTTGAGTATCAGTATCAGTTGTAGCGGTGAGGAAAGCTTTGCACTTGAAGGCCAACGCTCGGAGGTACACTCTGTTCTTCCATTTTCTATTTTCATAGATTATTGAGATTCCTCTTCTTCTAACTGCTTTTCAATTTCGCTATTTCTATTTTCTTTAATTCATCACCGAAGCTTCAATAAGGGATAATTTCTTTTAAGATACAAATTATATAATATTTTTTAATCTAAGGATTGTTAATGAAATGAATCTTTCGGAGAAAATGAACTTCTAAGCTCATTCGTGATGCTTCAGTGTTTACGTACATCGTGTGAAACCGGTTTGTTTTAGGGTTCCAAATTTATAACAATTGGAGCAACTAACACTAACAGTTTGTAATTCAATTTAAACATTCTATAATTAGGTCGGAACTGGAATTTGGAACTATTCCTTCACTGTTAATGAATTCAGTTTGGCTGAAGCATCAGCCACTCTTTTGGTTTTTGGTGGCTATAATTAGGTGTAAGAAACTGCGGCAAGCTGGTTAGGGTATTTTGAGCATGCCTAGCCTGGAACATAGATTATGGAATGTAGAAATATCAAATGCTTTTGTATGGACGTCTGCTAATTAAGGCTAGGAAGAGATACTTAATAAATGGCTTGCAGTTACTTTCTCCATACAATGGAGCTGTCTAATTCTGTGTTTTTGTGAGCTCATGGATTTTATGTATTATAGCATGGTTGTTGTTAAAGATATCACATGTTAGCTAGGAATATGGTCAGAATATTTCTTATAAGACTTGGAAAATCCTTTTTCTTTGAGTGAATTTATTAGAGGTAGTTAGTTATAATTCATTTCTAATATGCTAATCAGAGCTTTTCCAATTTTAATGTTAGACTACCTGTAGATGTCTAGTCTTACAAACTTCACACACTAAATATCTAGTCCTAGACATGAGGCTGGTGTGTTAAGATGTCCCACATTACTTAGGAATGTGATCAAAATATTCCTTGTAAGACTTGAATAATCTTTCTTTCTTGAGTTAGCTTTTGAGAGTTTGTTACGTACTTAGACTTAATATATTTTGTCACAGTGTAGGAGGATGGGTAGGTTGAAGGAAATGTGCAGTTCTTGAAGGAGATAAGTGGGCCATTAAATTTTAATTGCTGCTGGTTGGTAGTTCCCTATATTTTGCCTTTGAGGATGGGTGACATGTAGGTAGCATGAATACAACTTGGGATACTAATATGATATGAAATGAACCCATGGATTTGACAAATTTTATAAATTATGGATATGACATGATTACAATATAATATATAAAATTAGTATTAAAGCACTGAGGTTAAATTAAAAGAGAGAATCAATGTTTATTTAGCATTAGTTTATTAAACTTTATCACTTATCTAATTATTGTATTTCCATATGTGTTTGGATAAAATTGAAAAAATTAAAGGAAAAAATAGCATAAATGTTACTACGAATGTGTTAAATGTTCATGAAGTGTCTAACATGGATACATCTCCAACATGGGTACAACAACTTTTTTGAAGTGCATGTACTTTGAAGACTGAGATGGTGTTTTGTTTCTTGGATTGTCAAGAAATTAGAGATGGGCCAATACAGGTGCACTATCCTGCAATGGATTTGCAAGAGTCATGATACCTAATTTAATAATAGTCTTTGAATGCTTTGAGCTGGAACTAATAGCTTTTGTGGTAATAAAGAAAAATCTATTATCTTATTGATCTTTTAAATTGAAAATAAAAATATGATTAAAACAGTCTTAACCACTAAATTGTTTGCTTGTGTCAAATGGGATGGGATACTTAATTGACAGTTTGACAAATTATGCTAGTTTCTCCTATGCTAAGGTATATAAATTTTTATGTCTTATCCTTCATTTCAGAGCAAAGTTTCTGTCCTATACTAAATACCATGGGAACCAGAGGAGTAGTTGGGGACAAATGGTCCATGAGAATTCTTTGGGCTTGTGCTATTGGAAGTGCTATCGGTAAGTATTCTTGACTCTTTTTAATGGAATCATCTTTCCCCAGATCTTGTTATCAAACTATGTCTTGTGCTACGACCCTTCCTTTCTCGTGGAAAACTTTGTTCAGTTATATTCTTAATTTTTTCATTTTGATGACTATGATTGTCTAGGCCTGTATATGGTTGCTGTAGAAAGACAAGCAAAGAACAGGGAAAGAATGCTTGCTGAAGGATTGAAGGCAATGGAGTCTGGGGAAAGCAATGGCGGAGATGTTTGAATTGTGTCACATTATGGTTTTATGAAAAATGAGTACTATCATATAGCAGATGCAGAGTTTCAGATTTTCTGAAAGGTGTTTCTCCTTGTGTAAAAGGTTTCTGCATTCATCTTTTGTCCATTTGTTAACAGTATAATTTCTTAAGGTTTGAGCATTTTCCAGTGGGAAAATAATCAAGTAGATTTTCATTTCAAATTTACTCTGGGAAGGATTGAAGTGAGCTATCATCGAAATGAATAAAAGCCACGACCACAGTTTTAACATTGTTGCAAATAAACTTGTTACTTTTAAGCTGTATGTTTTTTTGATGATTTTGTTGATGGCTATTGAAAATAGTTTCCCTTACTGTTGCTAGCATGATGTTATGTAAATCAAAATAAACAAATAACTACCCGTACTTTACAAGGGTTAATCTCTAAAAATATATTAAAAGATATAATTATATGAAATCATAATACTGCAGCCTCAAAAACTGAAATAATAAATATATGAAATAACAGTAATAATACGTAATTATATTAGAACTGGGTATGCATATCTAAATACTTATAGGATATGAAGATGATGATTAAAATTATAACCTATTTGAGTACTAATTTAAGTATGAATATTTTTTTTAAATATAAAAAAATATATTGTAATGCCTTATGAAATATTAATTAAGGTACGTAGGTGGGCGGGTGTCATTCCTGTAAGAAAAAGAAAAGGCTGAGTGAATTCATATCTATTATTTAAACCATTAAAAATTGACTCTTAAAGGGATATAGTTTACAATTATTCTTTTTTTTTAATCTTTTTTCATATACCATCCCTAAAATACACTCTGAAAACAAGGGATCCGGAAACTTAAAAAAAAAAAAGACAGAATATGAAACCAAAATAGTCATAGTTACGCAGCACGTACCCACTGGTTATGACAAATAAAGTGGCTGTGCTGACTTTTTGTCACAGTGATCTCAATTGGATAAGTCTAGAAGTCACCACGACAAATCATAGAGATATTCGAATTATTTATTCAACATTTGATCAGCATCACTAAATAGCACATATTATGAATTTATCCCTGTATCAATAGCTTGTCACTTCCGTTGCTACCTATTACTCAGATGATTGAACAAAGATCCATTTTATCTTGTCAAGATAAAAAAGCTCGTAGTAGCAAGTTAGTGCTAGCTTAAAAAAGAACTAAGATTAAAGATTAATTTCATCATTGAAGAGATGTTAAGAAACACCCAACAAAAGTAAATATTAATTTATGTTGCACGTATTTTGATATAAATATGAAGTTCGATATAATACATAAATACGATAATTTGTCTTTTTTTAAAATAAGATATGAATATGATAAAAATATATTAAGTAAAATATAACTAACTGTTTTATAAATTATTTTTCTATTATCTTAAAAATTTATGTTAAAATGATTAAAGATAAAATAATTGAAATTTAATGTTAAAACAATTACATAATAAGTATATCAAATATCCAATATGAGCATAGATATAATAATGTCTATGAATCATAAATAACCATAACACAATCATGGCAAAGAACTTTTACTTGTACAAAATCCATAGTTGAAGGTGGAGAGAACAATTATTTGGTCATTGCTATCATAAGTCAGTGACTTTGGTATTCGCACAAAGTAAGGCTCCCACAGTAAACAAATGGGGAATTTGGGTAGAATGCATGTGAGATAAGATGACACTGACCCACGTGGAATACTAACATTTTAGCTTAGTTAAAAGGAAATTTTTTTTTAATATTATTAGTTAAGAATTAAAAAAATAAAAAATTATTTAAAAATATTATTATATATATTTATAAATTTAATATAATTTAACTTAATTTAAAAAAATATTTTAGTTTAATTTCTTACTAATATTTAAAGATACTCTAAAAACAATAATAACAAAGTAAAGATAAGAATAAATTGGAATTTGTGAATCTGATCCATCACAATCTTGATCCACGCCCACAAATTTGACGATTCAACAGCTTCGAACACCCTCATATCTTTGTCTTCATTCTATGTTTGGTAGATCATATAATCATATAAATACGTCAATCCCTACATTAAATTTTATCTATAGTTGTATTTTCTTTACACTTTGTGAAGTCTAAAAATGTTGGCAATTTTTCACGAGGCATTTGCTCACCCACCTGAAGAACTTAACAGTCCTGCATCTTACAGTGGTACCAAGAAGCCCAAGGTTCCTCAGGAAACTCTAAGAGAATTTCTTTCCCATTATCCTCATAACACTTTCTCTATGAATTTTGGTCACGCTGCTGTTCTAGCTTATGTTCGCCCTGATCAACATATCTCTGTTCATCAAAGGTCATTTTCTTGAGAAACTCTATTTATACAATAAAATAACGCATTTTTTTTATATAGATAAAAGTTAAGTAGAAAAAAGAGAAAATGTGAGATATTAAAGAGTAAATAGAATGTTATATAAGTTATCTTATAATTATGTTGTATGAATATATTATAGGTAAAAATATACGCGTTATTCTTTTGATATTATTTATGTTGTTTATCAATTATATTTAGAGTTTTACTTTAATAATATCTTTACATTTATTGTTATGGCATAATGTAGAGATAAAATTTTAACTTTAATTAATAAAAACACTAATAACATTGCACATCTTATAATAATATATATAAACCAGATTTGCCTTGTGATTTCAGGCAGTTTTGTGGGCTTGACGACATATATTGCCTTTTTGTGGGGAGTTTGTATAATTTGTGTTCACTGAATAAGCAGTATGGTTTGTCAAAGGGTACCAATGAAGCAATGTTTGTGATTGAAGCTTATAAGACACTTCGTGATCGTGGTCCATACCCTGCAGATCAAGTTGTGAAGGATCTTGATGGCACCTTTGCCTTTGTTGTCTATGACAGCAAAGTTGGTAGTGTCTTTGCAGCATTGGTAAGATCTATATCTCATTTTCCAAAGTCTAAACTCTCTTGAATCAACACAACCAATGTGTGTTTGTTTCTACTTTCTCCTCATCTTTTGGTTATAGGGTTCTGATGGTGGAGTGAAGTTGTATTGGGGTATTGCAGCTGATGGATCTGTGGTGATCTCAGATGATTTAGATGTCATTAAAGAGGGGTGTGCCAAATCCTTTGCTCCCTTTCCAACAGGTACTATTTGGGCCACTATTCATTAGTCTAAATGTTCAACTCACAGTAGTTCAGAGGCCAGAAAGAATTGAAAAATAAGCTTTTTTAGTGACAGTACACTGTACAAAAATTAAATAAGTAATTAGTTCCTAAAATTATCATTTTTTTGTGTGTTAGTACCAATATTTTTGTATTTATGCAAAAAATAAAGAGTCATAAAAAATCAATATATATAATCAATGGGTCATATTATTAGTCTAATATCTATTATCTAGTCACAATATTAACACCAACAATTAAATATCATCATATACATATTTAAAATTTTTTCCTGTTAGTGTATAGATCTAAAGTATGATCCATGACAAGTTGGTGTGGGAATGCAGGGTGTATGTTTCATAGCGAAGGAGGTTTGATGAGCTTTGAGCATCCAATGAACAAGTTGAAGGCAATGGCAAGGATAGACAGTGAAGGGGCCATGTGTGGGGCAAATTTCAATGTTGACAAGTACGAAAGGGTCAACAGCATACCCCGAGTAGGAAGCCAAGCAAATTGGGTGGAATGGAACCATCATTCTTAATTAGCTTACAAAATATAATGTAAATAATAAACTTTATGGGTTTCTCCAATTTTTCACTTTTACTGTCTTTCCTGTTTCCTTCTTCATAACACGCTATCTTGTCACTATTCCATTTTCATATTTAGGAAGGGATGAATTTTGTGTGAAATTTACTTAAACGTGTGTCCATTTTCATATTTAAAAACATACACTGATTCGTTTATGGTGCCCTATGTAAAATTCCAAAATCTACGGTAATATATATATATATATATATATATATATATATAGAGAGAGAGAGAGAGAGAGAGAGAGAGAACTTAAGGTAATATTATTTAGACATCAAATGTTTATAAAATATTTATACTACTGGATAATAATTAAATTAATAATGAATAAAATATGTACATTGTTTAATGCATTAGTAGAACATGCTTTCGGCTTATCAGTGAGAACAGATTCACATATTTTGGAAAAATTTATATGTATTATTGATATGGAAGACTAAAGTTACACACTGTCCTAAAGAGTAAATAAAGGAAACGGAGAATAGAATTTCTAAAGAGAAGAAAGCCATCCTTTAACTGAATGCAAGAGAGCAGTAAAGAAAAACCTAATGGATAAGTCTGTCAAACCTTTTACCTTTTGAATAGATATTACTTTGTAAAATTAGTATGTTTTGTATACATTAAATATATTGTTAAAGTATAATTAATAACTTATTTAACAATTATATAAACAAGCCAATACGATAAGGAGATTTTACTTTTTGGAATAATTTAAATATATTTTAAAACTTTATAAATATGACTTTATTTAACTTTGGTCATTAAAAATATTGTTAGTTTTAGTCTTTCACAAATCCTAATCTTTATCACTTCTTAGTAGTGATGTGTCATATTTAATTATACCTCATTAATAAATATTTTAAGGCGATTTACAACGTGCACTTGTCTATATTCATTTCTTGTCATCACTATATGGCAATAGAAATTAATTTTAAAAATTTAAAAGTTTGTGAGAATTAAAAATAACAAAAAGTTTTACCCATTTATTTTTATTTTTGACGTTTTTTGTCAGTGTTTTTTTTTTTCTTCGGCTATAGGCATGTCCTTTGTACACGTTTTTTTTTTGGCTGACTGCAGAAGCCCATCAACCATTGACTCAAACTTGCTTATAACATGAGGTATCCTTTTAGGTCAAAGCATCCTAATTCAGCTTAAATATTAGATTAAATTGCCTAATTTTCAGGAGTTGTTATGCTAGTATGTGCAGTTTATGGGTTGAACTTAGCCTCTCCAAATCAAGGTTAAAATATTAATACATTAGCCAATTCACTCTAGAGTTCACATAGATGACTATTAACATAACAAAAATTTATAAAGAAATGAAGAGAAAAAGTCCAAATGCTGACCCAAAATAGGGAATGACATTGGTTGTAGTTAATGTGCATAGTTATTTCTCATATAGAGTGCACTTGGCCACAAGGTTGAAGGACTCATTGAAAGTAATTGAGGAGTTAGCAGCTAGGAAAGCATCATCTAACAAACGCATCTGAAAAGGGTCTAAACTCTTCTGGGATGTTATTGAACTCAATGAAAAAAGTTTCTGAATCAACTTTGATGTTGGAAGCTACCATTTAAGCCAAACCGACAAGTTTCTCACTAATCTCCCACACCTTACGCGCCTTATCAGCATCACTTGCCTCCTGAGACAATTTGTTTTCAAATGATGCTGAGTCCTTGTTCCAGCTCCAGTATACACCTGATTTTGTTAGGCTTGGATCACTTACAACCTACATAAGAGCATAACAGTTCGTTAGTCATATTTTATTCTAACACAATTTATAATAATTTCCAAAGTGTTTTCATTAGTCATTGCTATTACCTGTGCAAGTCTTTTTCCTGATTCTTCTTCTGAGACAAAGCCTTTGGTTATGAACTTTTGGAATGGAGGGAAGAGAAGTCTGAACAAGGGAATGTGCTCTCTGAACAAGCCTGTTGTGGCAATGCAACCAGGGTAAAGGGAAGCAATAGTGATTCCAGTTTCTTCATGGTATCTTCTGTGGAATTCTTGCATGGTGAGCATGTTGCAAACTTTGCTGTCCTTGTAAGCCTTCGCGCCATCAAAGGCTCCTCCATCTATCATGGCAGAAGTGTTTAGCCCATTTAAGCCTCCAGCTAGTCCCCTCATGTCACCAAGGTTAGCCTTGGGAGGCACATTTCCAGCCAATGTGTTGGTGTTTCCTGTTTAATTTACACAATCATCAATATGAAGCCCAAATATGCTCAATAAATATAAGGCTTCACAATGCCCTCTCTCACATATTCTTTATTATTAGTGAAATTCGTTCAAATCCTACCAGTCACATAAAGTAATCCTACATGAATTTCACTTAATAATAAAAAGTATGTTAGATAAAGTATTGCTAGCATACAATAGAAATCTCAGCAATATACTCAATGACACTCTTTACTATTTAATGAAATTCACGAGTTCCTTAGTTATTGAAACTCACATGAATTTCATTTAATAATAGTGTGTGCAAATGAACTTATTAATTTGTGTTGCTGGCATTTCTCTTAATAAATGTGCTTAAGAATTAGACCTGTGATGGATCCAACAATGATCAACCGTTTTGATGGGTAATCAGATTTGTTCAAGTCTTCAAGCAAGAGTCGTGAAAGGAGGAAATGCCCTAGATGGTTTGTCCCAACACTGAGTTCAAAGCCTTCAGCAGTGAATGTAGGTTCTCTAGCAGTTGGCAAGTAAACAGCAGCATTGCAAACAAGCACATCTAGAGGCCTGCCAGAACGCCTGAAGTTATCAACAAATTGGCGTACACTGTCAAGAGAGGCAAGGTCTAAATGCATGATGGTGTAGTTTTCGTTAGCAATGCCAGCAGATTTTGCAGCTCTTTCAGCTTTAAGAAAATCCCTGCATGCCATTATCACATGCCATTTTCCTGTCTCAGCCAAAGCCTTAGCAGTGGCCAGGCCTAATCCAGAGGAAGCACCAGTGATCACAACACTTCCTTTCCTCAAAGTTTTCTTGCCTTCTGATGCAGCCTTTGTGACTCCTGGAGTTGTTGTTACCACTGACTGGGCCCTCACTGCACCAACTTTTTGTTGGAAATCCCTCTGATAAAGAGAAGGGGAAAAGTAATTAAATTAGATTATGCTTGTGTTTTGACCAACTACCAACATTATACATGAGAAACCATGCCATCATGCAGGGTCCAAAAATATAAAAAGAAAAAGAAAATTATGTGAAAGATATTAAGGAAGAATGAAAGTATTTAGAAATAAATATTTTTAAGACACTTATTGTTGATTAAAATTTACTAAAAACCTTAAAGTATGTATGAGAAAGTGAGACTAACATAATTATTGCAACTGTCAATAAATTTTTGTAAATGATAAAGAGTGTGTTGCTCATTTCTCATCTCAGTAACGCATTTTCGCGAACACATTATTAGATTGATTTTAAGTGAGCAATAAGACTTGAATGAAATTCACACAATAATAATAAAGAATAAGATTACAAGACTAATATGAAATTTGTACAATATATTATAAATGCTAAAAGCGGTGTTTAATAGAAACTCACATGATAATAAAGAAGATATTAAAAAAATAATGAAACTAATCTCCTCATAAATAAGTAGAAAATATTTAATAGAAAATAGGTAACAAAAAAATAAAAAATTATGTTGCAGTACGTACTTTGCATGTCAATGCAGAAGAGCTGAAGTCAGTTTTGAGAGTGTCAGACAATGAAAGACCAAAGAGAGTGGTTCCCCTGAGTGATACACCACACTTTCCCTGCAAATACAAAAAAGGGCATTTCCCAAGTTATCTTCTTTTATATCTTTAAATAGTATACATGAAGAAGATGTGATCATATGAGAAATTGAAGCAAACCTCTTTAGTAATGTTGAAAGCAGGAACCAAGGAAGCAGCTTGGAGAGCCATTGGAACTTGAATTTAAGAAGAAAAAGAGAAAACTGTGAAGTGGGTATTAATGTTTTAGAATGTTCCACTCAACTTGGTTATAGCGGGAACGTTAGTGTAACGAATTTATATAGTGAAGTTCTGTTTCGGATATGAAAGGATAAGATAGTTTGCAGCATGTGCACTTGCCATGTCACTTTAAATTATCCAATGAGGTTTTGAGTTTTAGATTTCTTGGGATATTTACAGTAACTTTGTGCTTGGATTAGGAAAGAGAGGATATTTTGATCCGTTGCAGGTATCAACAGTGCTTATTGATGCTGAAAGGGATTGGGAAGGGAAGCACATTTCGAGTACAAGGCAAAAAAGACAAGCCTTATTTTGTCAGTTACGTATATAGAATAATAGATAGGATATCTGTTCACATGTCTACAAGTACAAAGTACAAGAAATTTACTATATCCTCAAAGTTTCATTTCGAGATGGTATACTATAGGCTCAACATCTTTTTTTGTAAAAAACAATACTTATTTCAATTCATTTTTATTAGATTTTATTTTAAAAATACTGAAATCAATGTTATTTTATAAAATTAAAGATTAAGAAAAAGTTTTTAAAATTTTAAAACTTCTGATACCCGACTCACAATATTAAGGATTAATTTTAAAATTTACTCAGAAATTCAGTGTGGCATGCATGTTGGAGTAATGTTGAGGGGCTTTGGTATGCTAGAACTGTAGATAAGCTATTGAGAAAGATTATTTTTTTATACCGCCTTTTTTCCTGTTTACATCACTTATTTTATGGTCATTTCTAAAATTTAATATTTAAAACTCAAAGGTCTCCCCCACTCAATCACAAAGAAGACTAAGTGTGTTAAGTCAGAAAACGAGTAAATTGTAAACTGGTTGAGTTTCAAAATTTTTAAAATCTTTCGTTAATCCATAAATTTATAAATGTCATTTACTATATTCCTTTTTAATGTAAAATAATATAAATAAATAACTAACATAACAAAACAAACTGAACAAGTTTTTATAAAATTTAAGCGCAAACAAAAAAAGTTAAAAACTCAAACTAAAATATTAAATTCATATAATTGCAAAGGTTAATGTGCGAGTTAACTCCCCAGAAAACTAATAAGCTTTAGACAAGTCTCGAGTTGTCTTGCGTAAAACAAAACCCTCTGAAGCGTTCCATAGATAATTTCTAGAATGAACATGCCTTAGTCGCACTAGCACTTGAAGCCATACTGTTTTATTCAAAATTATGTGACAATAAATTGAATTGCATAACAAGACTAATATTAACAAATTTAAAAGAATCATAGTAATTCAACAAGCTTTTCCCATGCCCGTTAATCTCTACATTTTCCCATTCAATAAATCCACTGGTTTTGAAATTCCAGGTGTACTTTTTTTTCCTCTCTTTTGTTCAATGTTATGTCTCCCATTTTTTCAAGTCCCCCTCAAAGGCTTGATCGGAATGGCTACATATCTCATCCGATAAGCAAAAGAACGGGGAAGAAACGTAACTCCCCTTATACTATCTCACCAACACCTCTCTGTACAAATTATCACCAACAAATGGAGAAAGTGAAAGTCTACAACCCCTAAACCCCTCCTTTACCTTTGCCTGAGTTGATGTCTTCAAGTTATTCTCCCATGCTCATAGGCATGAATTTTCGATCACCTCTTATATACCAAGTGGCAATCCAAAATTTTGGAAAGTTTTAATTTCCCCTTGAAAGCCAGCAGTTACAACCACCATACCCCAGGCTGACATGTTTTGATTCACCCCATTAGATAAATCTATGCTGACCCGAGGGCTCCGGTCCCTTGTAGTTAGAAGTTTTTCCTCAGGCCATGTCGCCGAAATTCTTTCAAAAAAATAATTGTTTGTTGCACTTGCAATGGTTCCATGAAGAGGACTATTATTGCATCCTGAAGCAAATTGTGAACCCTCAGAACCAATATTTTCCTCTACAGGGGTAGGAGGATGATTGGCCGATGAGACCTCATCCAGGTTATCATCATCGAGCTCAAGTCCACCACCACAAAATGTATCATGCATCTCCCATGCATCATCCATTCCAGACCAAGGAATGGCCACTGACACATCTTTACAGTGAAAATGCTCATATGAGCTTGTGACAGTGACACCTTTGCTCCTGCTAGGTCGGCAATCAGCTTCATTTTTCCAGATGTATACATGAGAATCCTCACTTGCTGAGACAACATATTTACCATTTTCTGTGAGGCAGGCAGAAATTTGGCTATTTGCATTCCGAAACCCTGGAAAAAAAATGCAGCATTTTACTCTGAAATGGAAACGAGGACGGAAAGAAATATCTGGTAGACATTACGTTTCATCAAAGAATTAGAACAAGCAATGACCACAATTTTCTTTTCCTTATATCCATATCAATCAAATAAATGTACGAGATCCTACTAAAAGATATTACATTCCAAAACGATGTGGAGGATATTAGGTGAGAGTATAAAAAGAACTAATATTGATCATATACTTACATGGACAGTTTTCAATGACCTATATATTATGGTTGTATGATAAAGATTAGCTCCCCACCCTCTCACTTAATGCATCCTACACACACATATTGATAAGAATCTTAGGAGAACTACACCACAAAAGCTAGCCATTATTGCTAGAGAGCCCAAAACCTTATAAATTCCACACTAGTTTCTCATATTTCTAATGCAGGACTCAAGTCCCATATTTTGCAATTGGATCCTAACATCTCACCATGCTCTGCAGACTAGCGCCTATGCAAGCTATACCTATGCATTAGCCCCTTTAACTGGTCTTGGGAAAACATTGCAATGCCGGTGTCATCATTGGAGCCCCTCATTTGCAACTGAGATATGGCAGAAGGCACTCATACAAATTGATCAGAGCTAGGAAAAGCACACCACAAAAGTAAGTTTGTTGTAGTTGGAGAGCTCAAAGCCTTATAAATCTAACACTAAAATCCCATCTTTCAGTGTGAGACTCAAGTCTCATACCTTACAATTGGATCCTAACAAACCTATATATGTACACACTTTTTAGCCACTTTGTTCATTATTTCTGTCAAAAGTTGTCTTATATGTTTCAGAATATTTATCATCTCTAATAGTGTATCCTTGGCAACAGCAAAAATTCTCATATACACAGCAATGCTTATATACAATAATCGATGGAAAGTTATAATCAAATAAAGTAGGCCTCATACAAATACCGATATTTACACAGTTCTTGTCCACCTAGAGCAAGGAAAAGCAAGCCAAAGCCAGGAACATAGAAACAATCTCATCTCCATCAAGAGAAAGAATAAATTAATACTTTTCCATAAATGATATATGCATATGTAAAATATATAGAAGTAGAAAATATACAACCATACAAGGCCTCAAAGAAAAAGATAAAATACTTCTGCTCCCTGGCAAAAAAAAAAACCCAGGCCAAAAAAAAAATTTATTCTGATGAAAAAAGTTTATAAAATGGTATATTCATTTGTTATGATGATATCTTCAATAAAATTCACTTGATATAGAACTAACTTTACCTACCTTTAAATTTATGAACCAGATCAATACCATCAACAAGTCGAATCCGAGAATCAGAAGATGTGATGAGTACTTCTGATGAACTTCCTGGCACAAACTGTTCATAAAAATCAGTAGGAAAACAAGCACAAGCTATTACGCAATAGTTCTTAAATCTTCAATTTTTTACATTATTTTTCCTTTTTAACCCTTCAGATGGGGAAAATCTAATACAGGCCAGAGTTAAGCCATTAAATACCTGGAAGCCAGTAATTTTCTTGTGGCTCGATTTCTTTTTCCTATTCTGCAAATTTATCTGACTTTTCTGTTGCAACTTATTTTCTGAATGAAATGAAAAATAATATAATAATCAGTATCTCTGCAATCATCAGAATAGTCTATATAGTTTATATATAGTTAAATAGAGTCGCACAGGCACTGACAATACCAGATGTATTATATAAATGGCAACTACCCTTGTATGAGCCAACTAGTGCACCCTGCAGAGACCAGAAAGTATTACTGAATTGCAACTTAAAAACATACTTTTCATGGGGAGAAATATGCATATAAATGTTAAACCAACCTGGCCATCAGGCGTATAACAAGCAGCAGTGACCATCTCATGCAGATCAGTCCAATCAACAACTTGTCGATCAGGAATGCTCCATATGCGAACCTTAGCATCCAAAGATCCACTAATGAAGTATCTATCATCAACAGGATTAAACTGGATGCAAGTTACTGTGCCAGGAAAAAACAAATTGAGGCAAAGGTATAATTAGCAAGGGGGAAAGAGAGGATTTGGGAGGGGATGGGGGCTACAGGAATGCTTTCATTGCTAAATTTAAGTGACAATTGATAACCCAATAAATGTGAAAGAACTCTTATATAATCAGTTCTATATCCAGCATCAAGTAATTTTGATAAATCAATGCCACCGTGCTTAACATGGGTACTCAATCCTTGCATAAGGGTTGACTTGGTCTAGAATAGACTGTATAGGGATAGGTCATACTGTGAATCTAATCCAAATTTGAGAAATAACAACAATACACTCTCTAATATATTCTTTAATATTAGTTAAAATTTATCAAGGTCCACAAAATGACGTGACTCTCATTTCTTATTTGATGAGTCTCAACAATAATGTCAGGGGTCTCAATAAATTTCATCCTATAATAAAAAATGTGTTATTGTGTTAGGGTGTTTTGCATTTCTCTTCGTTTTTGTTGGGGAAGGGGCAGAAGAAACTTCTAATACAAATGCATAAAAGTATATGAGTGCTCTGGCACTTATTTAATATTAACGCCCAAAGGAGTATACCATATGAAATCTACTCAGAATAGGGAATAGCAAAGATGAAGGCAGTGCAAGATGTAATAGAGGCATGTGCTCACCATAGTCACTGTGTGAAAAAATTTTCAAACAAGACTTGCTAGACAAATGCCACAGCCGCACTGTTTTGTCCATTGAAGACGAGAGCAAGTGCTGATCAAACAAAAAATAAAACACTGTTTACATTTCTAAAACACTGCACATCTTCATGACCAATCTTTGAATTTTAAAGATAATAATTAAGAAAGTCTTTAAATAAATAAACAGATAAACCAACCATTTAAGCTCTACAAAGACATCTTCCTAGCTTGCAATAGTATGTCACTACTCACTAGAATTGATCTTTTGCATTTTAATCACTCCATAAGATGGTCAAAGCAAAATTCCAGAACTACAACGTGGGGGCAATGTGGCAAACTAAAAACAGATTAAAAATTGTTTAAATTCAAAATACTTTTAAATTCTGAGGAATATTATGCACAATATTTTTTCAAATCTCTCACAAATTTTTCTTGCTTGTCACTCACTGATGATACTTCAAAGCTTGGCCCCTCATTTTCTTCTCTGTTTGTCAGCTCCTCCACAATGATAAAGGTTGTGGACTGTTAGCAGTGAGCTTGATGACAGTAATTCCTCAGTGAGGTTCCAGTGCATTCATGTGAATTCACTCACACTGCAGGAAAAAGTCCGCAGCTCTTGCCTTTGTACTGTTGATTTGATGTAACAACCATGCTTAAGTTCTTATAACTTCAATTGTTGTTCTAACTTCTACAGCAGAGTGCAATCAAAAAGTGATATTTTATATCTTTGATGCTATTCAATGATTTAAAATTATTTGAAATAGGAAAATACTTAATCCAAACACATTCTAAAATTAGGTTTTGAACTAGGCCAACAGTAAAAAAATTTGGTAAAAGTAACTTAAGCATTCTTAAATTTTCAAATGAATTACAAAGATAGAGGAGAAATAAAGCACTTTTTTATTTTTAAAAATGACAAAAATAACAAACTTACATTGTTATTTTATTTGAATCGGTTTTAACAAGAACTGATTTTTCAAAATGGAGTTAACCCAGGATTTTGATCCCAAATAAGTGTAGCTACTTATCCGATTTTTTCAAGTCTAGCAAACACTCCCTAAAATATATATGGGGATCGGGGAATAACGATAAATTGATTTAATATTAAGCTTAAACAAGACAAATCCCTATCATAACATAAATACAACAACTGGATTATCGTAAAGGCAAAAGCCAAACATCTAAATGAGAACAACTAAATTACCTCCTTAAGCAAGTTACTGACCTGAACATATTCTTTCTGTCTCCTATTTATAACCACTATCTCTAAATCTATTTCATTATAGGAATTTCTGGAAAAATTTCATGGTAAAAAAAAATATCACCAAAATGAAGAAATCATAGATTCATAACACCTGTTAACAAGTTCTTTACAAGTTACCATTTAAATTGTTCATCAGCAAATGCCTTTCCGAGGAAGGCCAACAATAAAAATACAACTCCAGGAAAATAAATAATTCTAGACCTTTAGAATAAATTCGAAAAAATTGTAAATTTAATAATTTGCTAGGAAGTAGCGAAAATAGATTCTCACATCTTCTCACAGATACAGACAACATATTCTACTTGTTCCTACAATTCATATTTTAATATTGAGTTTATGTTTATGACTACAGTAAGTAATCCCAAAACGTAGAGTGACAAATATTAGCAGTGTCTAGTAGCTGGTGCACAAATACTTTCCATGATGTAATAACCAGAGAAGACTAAACAAAACTAGTCTCACTCCTTCTAATAACAAAATTCTGCTCCATAGATTGCATATTCAACAAAATAAAAAGTTTTAACATAAAATGTTATATTCTAATGGAATTTAGAATCCATATTTTATCACATGAAGCCCATTCTACCCATTTAAAACAGTACTACGTAAATCAACAACCAAGTTTTATCCTAATAATAGGTGAGGTTAGCTAAATGAATCAATGAACACAACTGGGCTCTATAAAAAAATCAAATTTTGAATATATTCATTTGGAGTAATATCTTTTTAATGGTTTCCAACAGTTTTCTTAGCCACTACTATACCCCTTTTAATCTATGCTTCCATTAGATTCACTTTCTCACAAGAGCCTCAAATTAGTCTTTTTTCTTACATGACCAACACACCCTGGGCGAGTTTCTTCTTCTCGTATATGCTACTCTTCAAAAACTGTCCTGTTTTAACCAATTACAATGAGTATTGAGTTTTTGTTCTACTAGATACAAAGTCGAAAACATCAACTGTTTTCTGTAAGTGACTTTTTATCAGTTAACAGGGCAACATAAAAAAACCAATAATAATTTGAATGCATATGAGTGTATTGAATATAAGATCATTAGTGCAAATATAAGAGCGAGTAATACACTTCACAAGTATATCACATATAACACACAAATGAAGTTACAGAATTACACAAGTTCGTAGCTAACCTGAGACTTGGACCAAGAAAGGTCAAGCACATCATCGAGATGGCCCTTAAAGGAGCATATAGGCTTTTCAGTGAGTGCAAACACAGTTTCTGGCACCACTAATTGGTCCAAGCTCAAAGATTTTCTGCTAACGGACAACCTCCCCCTTCTCTTCTTCTCTACACTACTGTCCACACCAGGAGACGACAAAGCCGGCTCCGGCGACCCATTCACTACAAACAAGACATTCAAATTCCCTTCTTCCGGTTTCTCCAGCAGCAACTCACCCTTCCTCTCCGACTCCACAACCTGCCAAACATGGATCACACAATCCTCACCTGCACTAGCAAGATACTTCCCATCCAAACTAAACTTGATGCTCCAAATTGATCCATCATGAGCCTGTATCTCCTGGCTCTTATAAACCCCTGTAAACTCTTTACATGACTTCCCATATTGCCTAACCCTCACTCTCTCAGGCCCATGAAACAAACCACCACCACCACCATTACCACTACCATCCTGGCTATCATCGGTGGCGGAGCTCGACCTCCGGCCTCCACCCTTCTCGGAGGACGAGGTATCCCTCTCGTCGCCACTCCGCCTCTCCTTATGACCAACAACAACACTCTTTATACTCTTGAAATTAAACCAACCCCCTCTCTTCTTCACCTTGCCACCATCACCATCACAATCACCATGATCATCACAAACACCACCGTTCCCATTCAAATCCACACCATCCCCATTACCTTCCTCCACATTCTGCCTACTCATTAACTCTTGAACAATGGGAGAATGCCCCACAGTCATCTCAAATTCCTCCATAGTCAAATGCCTCCCAGTCCCCACTTCCTTCACCTTGTTCCACACCCCATCCTCCCTCACCTCCTTCACCACAAACTCCTTCCCATTATCCAAATCCCTAATCGTGCAAGCTTCTTCATCCAAACCCTCACTCCCAATTCCACCACCCCCACACACACCCACACGACCCTCATTGCCACGAATGCAATGCTTTGCGCCGCGATCGGCGGAGTTATCTGATTTTGATCGGAATATTCCGGCGCCGGCGGCGGAGGGAGGCGGAGCAGGGAGGCCGAATTGGCGGAGAAGGCGGGAACGGCGTTCGGAGAGGGAAGAAGGTTCGGAGATCCAGGCGTCGTATTTGCACATGGTGGGGAAGGGGAATTGGGTGGGAGAGTTGGGAGTGGAAGTGTTGGTGACGTCGTTTTGGGTGATGGTTGTGTCGTCTTCGGAAGAGTAGTGTGGGTTACTATGATGGTGGTTTCGTGCTTCTTCCACTGCTTTGGCTTTGGTCATGGCTTAGGAGGCATTCCCATTTGGCTCACAAATATATGGATCGGATCGGAACTCAGATCCAATGGTGCAGTGTGTGAGAGAGATGAACGAATGCTTTAGCCTTTCGTTGTTGAAGTGTGCAGTGTGCAGTGTTTGGGTTTGCAATGGAAGAGACTACACAGAGAGAAGATGCGTTGCTGCTGTCAAAACTCATCAATGAGAGAGAACCACCGTTTTCTTTCTCTTCTATAAATGAAAGCCCCAGTCCAAAATTTTAAATAATTTTTTAAACACTTTGGTTAAATTTTAATTTTATGTGCTATGTTTAGAATAAAAATAATTAAAAAATATATAATTCAGTTCAATGATCTTTATATTTAGAAACAAATCATCTTTGACAACCTACTGACAAAAATCACTAGTATTCAGAAAATAATAACTCTTTAGTTTTTTGTAAATTGTTTACCTCTTTCTAATGGAAGTTAAAAAGTAATTTATAAGTCAAAAAACCGCCACACTTAATAGAAAAGAACAATATTACAATTAAAATTATAAATTTTGATAAAATAAATTAAGTTCTTAGAATAGCTAAAAAGGTTGTGCATGGTTTGCATGATTAGGGTGATTATTTAAGGTAACAGTGGTGTAGATCTCCAACGAACAACAGTTGATGTTTGAGTTTGTCCCTATTTTACATAGTAATGTTTCTGACGGAGTGATGCAATTTTAGTTAGGCATTATGATTATGTCTCTCAGATTAGATTAGCACTTTGCAACATATTGTCATTTCATTGGCAATTCAAAGTTACGATCAGAACACAGTTCTAAAAGATAAAGATTTCAGAGATACTTGATCCTGCTAATTGGAGACAAATCAAAAGCCAGTGAGCCCCATTCTTGTTCACTCAATTTTCTATTTACATATCACACTTCTTTTGGAAACTTCATGTTACTTTCTACTTTCTGTTTCAAAAATTCAAATCAAAATCTCAATAACATGCCTCTACATAAAATCTCTTTTTTTTCTAATTTTCATTCTCCTTTTTCCTCTCTTTTCTCATTTTCTTTTCTTTCAACTAAACACACTGTTAGAAAAGTGGTTCATAAAAGTACCTAATATTCCATATTTTTAAAACTGAAATTAATTTTATTTATGGAATTAGAGGTATTAAGTAAAATTAGAGGGATAAAAGTACCTAATAAATAATATGTCATATGTTTATATAACCTTTTGATATGTATCATCTGTATTTGTATATAAAAGATTATTTCTAATAATTATAATTTTTTAAGTTTTCTTTCTAACTCCTATCATTTTCCTTTATGTCGTGTTATTTTTTGTTACGTCACATCTATTAGAAAGGCTGAAAGTGTTAACTTTTTAAATATTAGAGATTCAAACTTAAAATTGACGTACTAAAATGATAATCTCAAAATAAGATAGAGATTGAAAATATATTTATGCCTTAAAATAAATAGTATAATATTAAAACAAAGACTTTTATTAAAGTATTAAGAATAAAAATAAAAATAGGATATACCATAAGCTCAGATATTCTTTAAGTAGCATATTAAAAATATTATAAGATTGATCAAATAAACTTTTAATTAGTCAAATAATTTTTTTAATTAAAACAGATATATTTAATAAACGAAATCTTCTTACTAACTCATTATATTTTTTATGTTACTTGAATAATATGTCAAATTTATAACTTATTATTTCTTTTACCTTTATTATTTTAATAAAATTTCTTATTTACGCCATCCTTTAATATTATATTTTATTCTTGAGGACAACCTAAGTTAAAGTGACAACAAAGTGACTTCAATGAGACACAATTATTGACCCAATTAATTAAATGAATATATATATATATATATATATATATAGAGAGAGAGAGAGAGAGAGAGAGTGTGACTAAGTTTATTAATTCTCTTCGAGTGAGAGGTAAAAAAAACTTAGAATAACTAATTAGTACAAAAATTTTCCAAATTATTTCACCAGGTCATATAAAAAGCACAACAATGAAATATATTCATTCAACCTTAATTAAATTAGTGACTCCTAATTAATATTTATAGGTCTAAGTTTAAAAAGAATTACTTATAACTTCCTTTGCAAGTGTAACCTAAGTCACTCTTCAACTTATTCGTAGTTATTTTGCTCGCCTACCTAGTCAAAGACAAAAAAGTGTTTCTGCGAAAGAGTAGTATGCTTCCTCTGCAAACCTTGAGGTGTGAGCCCTCTATCCAAACATGTCTTTACATGCTTTCTTATCCTTTAATTGGGTCATTATTATATAAAGGAAAATTATTATTACAACACATCATTTTTTTTATAATTTGAAAATTTAAGAAAAATAGAGTACTATATATATATATATATATATATACATATCGTTGTCCTTATATGACTGTGTTAAAGTGACTTGAATGAACATTTATGTGCATTGTCCAGCTAAAAAAAGGACAAGTTGACATATGAAAGGAGTATAGAAGTTGATTCTTGTGACTGAAGTTTTGGCAACCTTTTTATGCAGCATTGTTTTATGTTCCTTTGAGAAGAGGAAGAAGCAACAAAAGGAGAGGGATGGTGAGCATATAGCTGGAGATGACCGAAAGGTGCACCAATTCAAATTAGAATAAGAAACTCTTAGAAAATAGTTCAATTAAACGTTTCTTTAATATAAAGATTTATATTGTAGTTTGACTATACATTTTTAAAATAAATTATAATAAGATAAAATTAATTTATAAAACAATTCAATGATACTTGGCAGGTGAATTAATTGTGTTCTTTGGATTGGTCATTTAATGCATGGTTGTAGCACATGGCACATATATTAGGACATGGATCGATATGGAAATTTAGGACAGGTTTGGAATCAATTGTGGGTGCCAACATGAATGTAGACTACCTAATGAAGAAAGAGATAGGTATTGCCCTTACACAGATACATAGTTGAATATTCAAAATTTAAGTTATATTACATGTCTTTTGAAAAAATTATGTAAAGAATTAAATTTGTATCAGAGTATCATATAACTACATCGCGTTTGTGTTTGGCCATAACTTGAACTAAACTTTTAACTTTTATATTATTTATATGTTAGGAAAGAGATATACAATTTTTGTGAGTGCAACTTCGAGTGATTCAAATGTTCGAAGGTGAAATTTGATATTGAAGTTGGAGCAAATTGAACGCTCAGTGGACATTAATAAAATAAACTTATTTTAAGGCCAAATCAAGCAAATGAGATGTCTATGTAAAGCTATCATTTGAGTTAGGGTAGGATATTGAATGTACATCGAAAAGGACAAATTTAAACGGAGGAAAGCAAAGTGTAAGTAGAACTGTGATCATTTGTTTAGTTTAATCTGAAACTTTTGATCCAAGAATTCACTCTTTTTCTCTCATGCATGTTTTCTTATCGACATTCTTTAGATTCCTCGTGAGATTTTGAGATGAATGGGTTAAAACATTTGATGAAAAAATGTGTTTGATAAAGAAAAAAGGAGGAACAGAGAAGTTTAGTTTGAAAGAGCAAGTTTGGGCCAACTGTCGGCTTTGACTTGACAAGTTTAGATGGCATTTGCATTCGCAAAGCAAAAAACAAAACAGCTAAATGACATTTTTTATTTTCTGTTGGTTCCATTGATAAGGAGCATAAGAAGTACCAATAATCTTATTAGCAATTTTTTGGTATAGAATTTATGTCATTAGATTTTTTGTAGCAATTATAATGTATATATACAATTATTTTTTATGCACGTAAATATATATATATATATATATATGCATTTATAAATATTTTTCTAAACATTTTTTAATTTTAGGATGTATCTTAAGAACTCTCAAAACTTAACTCATTTAAACTTGCATATAACTCAAATAAAAAGTTTTATTTATTTAATGTATGCAAAAGAACATAACATTATAAATATATATATATATATATATATATATATAAGAATATTTTTTTAGGATTAGTTTGGATTAAACCCTAATATGTGAAAGAACTAACTTTAAAAAACCAATTAAAGAAATTGTTTTTAAAAGAATTAATATTAAAAAAATTATATAATTAGGAATAATAATTAAAAATAAGTTTAAATGATAAATTTTGTATAGATAGTGTAACAAGATTATTTTTAAATTTTTAAAAAAATTATAGTTATTTATTTAAAATTACTCATTAATTATAAATTTTTACCGACACGACCATATTGATGTCCAAGCCATTTTTATTTTTGAAATCAGTTGTCAGTTTTGCGTATATATCCAAAGGAGCACAGTATCAAATAAAAAAAGTACCCAATGAATGTTTAATATTTTTTTAACCCAAAAACAAAGCATATAAAAGAAGTATTTGTTAAACAAAATATCCATGGACTTCAGTTAAATTTCATAAGAAATAATTATAAAAAACATAAAATAAATTTACAAAATAAAATATTTATAAACCTAATTTGTTTATGTAAAGTTTATATATTGCAAAGAAAAATTATAGATACCCAAAAAGTAAATTCAAACTGGGCACACAAAAACAATGCTTAACTCACCCTAACAAAAAACTATAAAAAGTAAATATTAATTACAGATTAAATTGAATGCTTGTGACAAAGTAGTGAAATTTTTGGTCCCACTTGAATTTGAATATCAAATAGCTGATGCTTTCATTGTCCATCAGCTTCAGAGATATCATTTTCAAAACATATATGGATAAGACCACAGAGCATCAAAGTAGCAGAAACAGATGCAGTCACAGATGGACCCCATAGCAATCAACAGCTCCCATCTTCTTTTCCCATCTATCTTTCTTATTAAATTAATTTCAATCTGAAAATTAAAATAAAATAGGATTATTGTAATTAAGGGCATGCAGAAATATAAATGGGTTGAGTTTAAGTTGAAAGAAAACGATTCATTAAACTTTATTCTCAATGACAAAATTTTTATAGTCTTTGATTTTGGTTTTTTTTAGTTTATTTAAATTTTTTATAATTTATTTTAGTT